TTGACTTGACGCTTTGCTTCACTCAAGTAGATGCGATGGAAGCAACAGTACCTTCAACCAGTAATGGGGACAACCCAACAGTGTCCCACCACTCGTTGAAGGCAATGCTTCTCCTTAATTCAATACATAGGAATAATAGGCTTTTTTTACACACCCTTGGCACAGTGATTTACCGTGTATTCCTGATAATGTCTTTGAACCTATGCCGGAGCTGATGGTAACACATGGTGGTATACTTAAGTTGCTTGAAAAAATAAAGGCTTTTTCTGCAAATTGCCCTGTCTGTATACCCTCTTATGTGTTAAAGGCTTACTCTGATGTAATTGCCCACTGCCTTGTTATAATCTCTGAGAAATCATTGCGTACTTCTTGTTTACCTAGCGAATGGAAAGTCGGGAATGTGGTTCTGATACGTAAGGGTGGCCCCCAAAAAATATTGTCTCCAACTACAGGCCGATTTCCCTAACAAGTGTGTGCAGCAAAACAATGGAGCACATAGTTTACAGCGTCGTAATAAAACATCGAGAAAGTAACAATTTTTTTACCGAATCTCAGCATGGATTTCGGTCTGGTCTTTCATGTTCAACGCAGCTCATCGAATTCAGTCATGATCTTTTTTGCTCATTCAACCTTGGGGTGCAGACGGACTGTATATTCCTAGATTTTCAGAAAGCGTTTGATTCTGTGCCTCATGTTCTGCTGTTACATAAACTCTCATCCCTTGGTATTACTCCTGCATTGCTTGATTGGATCAGGTGTTATCTACAAGACCGGATGCAACGTGTCGTAATTAATGGTTCCCAACCTGAATATGTTACTGTTATTTCGGCAGTTCCACAGGGATCTGTGTTAGGACCTTTGCTGTTCCTAGGGTACATCAACGATATTGCTCAGAATGTGTCATGCAAAGTACGTCTCTATGCAGATGATTGTGTGATTTAGCACTGTATTAGATCCACCTCTGACCATCACTTCTTGCAATGCGATTTAAACAGTATTATGTTCTGGTGTGATAAGTGGCATATAAGTCTGAACCCTAAAAAGTGCCAGTGCGTCTCTTTCACTCGTAAAAATGACTCATACCTATTTCATTATACATTAGATGCCATCCAGCTAATGCAAGTAACTGAGTATAAATACCTAGGTGTTTACTTTTCATCAAATCTTACCTGGACCAAGCACGTTGAATATGTCACAGCGAGATCCTGCAGAATGTTAAACTTTGTTAAACGGAACTTCTGGTTAGCTCCTCCCAAAATCAGAGAAGTACTCTACTTTTCGTATGCCTGTGTGGCGTGGGACCCACAAACAAAAACTTTGTCTAATACTATGCTCAAGATTGTACAAAACCGCGCAGCTCGTTTTGTGACTAGCAACTATGACTTCAGTGTCAGTGTCACTGTGCTTAAGGATAGGTTAGGGTGGGATTTGTTTGTATCACGTAGGAAACGCTTGAGATAAGAAATGCTATTTAAAATATTTCATGGGTTCATCAAAATAGATAAGGAATCTTACCTTTCTCCTCCCTATTTTTTATCTAAGAGAACTGACCATCCCCTAAAATTGGGAGAAATTTTTTGCAGAACAAACATTTACAAATACTCCCTTTTTCCGCTCAAAATCTCCCAGTGGAGTCTGCTTCCACTGGAGGTTGCAGACTGCCGCACTGAAACAACTTTCAAGGACATATTGCTACTGTCATAGCTGCATTTTTGTTATGATCTTTTTTTGTGTTCAGCTTGTTTTTGAATTTTTCTTAAAATCACCAGTTTCACCGATGTACTGGTTGTCACAATTGTGGCAGCCTATGGCATAAACAGGACCAAGGAAATTTCTGCTCAGCAACTTGTCCTTCACATTGCACTACTCACGTCTCTAAATTTACACGTTTGTCTAGGCTGCGATTTCGGCTTGGCTTTAAGGCCGTCTGGTTTGTCTAGGCTAGAACTGCCATCAGCAGAAGTTTGCCGAATTATTATTATTATTATTATTATTATTATTATTATTATTATTATTATTATTATTATTATTATTATTATTATTATTATTATTATTGGTGATGCAACAGCAAACGTCCTTAGCTACACACTTATTGCTGGTAGCTCGTGTTTCAAGGGTAGCGCTTGTATAACCTAAGGTAAATTTCTCATTTCAGTTTCGTGAGATATTGTAAAAATATATCTGCAATTATTTTTTAACGTGACATCCACAGAAGATTATGTAAATCAAGGTAATGTGTTGACATCTGTGATTCATCTGTGGAATCAAAGTAGCTGCTGCACCTTGACAGATTCCTTCTTGCCACCACATATTCAAACATCGGCATTTTAAATGCTGTGCCCAGCTTTCATTGCAGCTGTCCGAAGACTTCCGAGGCACTTTAAATGTCAGAGCCCAAGTACATAAAATAGAAACATGCATGTGCTCGTTGGAAAAAGATCGAAAAAAATTTGCAGTACAGCTCTGTTCTTGCAACATTGTCGTTATTTATTGTCAAGGCAAGGTACACAAAATACGCGAGTAGCAGTTTTTTTTTTCTTTCTGAAAAGTATATTTTAGAGGTGCGCAAATTAGGCAGGGATGCAAATCAATAGTAAACACAGCAATTCATGTTGAATCAGATCTAATCTATTCCACATCCTAATAGTTGAGTCTGTAAATACAGCAGTTCAGGTCGATCTAATTGAATGCAATCCACATCCTAAGAGGCATGGGCTACAGCCATTATAGTTACCTAGATTATACTCCATTGGCAGAACCGGCCAGGCTCCCGTGTCCTCATTTTACATGAATGCTGTGAGATGGCACCACTTCTACGTTTCCTAGCAGCTTTGACTGCAATGTCAGACTATTGCAAGCTCCTTCAAACTTTCATCTGCGGTTGCTTTTAACTTGCGTGTTTGCTTCCTGGTTCTTTCGAACATCAAACAGCCGTCTTGCTCACTGCCTGGCTCAGGGGTTTCATTTTGGCCAGATCCAGGTATACATATTTTTTCACATTCACCCCACGCGCTCAGAACAATCTGAGTGTGTCTGGTAATTATGTTTACTTATATGGAGCACCTGATGTTTTTTTTTATGATTTGAGGGCTTGTTTCTAGTGCACCGAGTTTTCCATGCAGACGTGGCGGTTATGGAATTTGCTTTTAATCATTATGGAAAACCTGGAAAATTTCGGGAATTTTGAAATATCAAATTGGTAGACATCCTGATTGGAGGGAATATTTTTTTCATGCTCAGTAAGGTAGCATGACAGACTTCTGTAAGCAATACCTGTTTGCAGACTGCTTGGTTCATGCTTGAAATCTCTGCTTGCTGTGCAAGCTGAAGGTAAACGAGAAGGGAGACTGTCTCCCTTCTCGTTTTCCTTCAGCTTGCGCAGCAAGTCGAGAACCTGTTTGGCCAATATAAAAAAATAGTTACCATAATTTTTTAGGAGTCACTATTAAGTGTGAAAAAAAATTTTTTTTATGGGTATGAATGCATTGCTTACTCATTATTGATACAACTAAGAAGGAGAAAAACACCTACTTTTGGAATGAATATGTTCTGCGTGCTCGGTAAATGAGCACAACAGCTGAGACTTTTTTACCACTGAGAATCATCATGCCCCGCCAGTTTCTAAGATACTCTTGGTTGGGTTCCAATTTCAAGCCGGTCCTTGCCTCGGCAGCTGAAATCTTATGAATCCAATTTTGATTTGGTATTTTAGCACTTGTTCAAATAGCATGAACCGCCGCTTGACTCACTCGCAGCAGAGGAGTCAAGCGGCGAGTGGGCGCTCAGGCTCGTATTGTTATCGCTGTCAGCGTGTGCTAGGAAACCCTACTGTTATGCGCCCCCGTCACACACACACACACACACACGCACACGCGCACACACACACACAAAAAGATTAAAACTGTTTCCAGTAGTCCTTAGTGCTATCGCAACTGAGAGGCTATTTGTAATTGATGGAAGATCACTATACAATTGTGCTCGCACAATTGAAGGAAGGCCAGACGTCGCATCAGCTCTGCGGCTATTTTTCCTGTTATAGTTTTAGGGCATTTCTTCGTACTGATGCCCAGCGCTATCACATGGATGTTAAACAGTTCCATATCTTTTTCATGTTCTTGGTTTTATTTTGGCTCTTAAGACAACCTGTCACGCTACAGCACTCTCTTCTTCAGCCTCTGCACTTCAAATGCTCACAAATAAAATGCAGGATTTTTCTAGAAACCTCCAAAGGGATACTGAAGAAAGTTTTTGCTGCCAATATTTTGATAGATACATAACTACAGGAAAATAGAGAATTTAATGTTTTCACAAACTACCTGTCTAGCGGCCGTGCCATGAACTAGAAGAGGCAGTGTTTGGTGACATCACAAATGCCTAAAGCGAGCAAGCCGACAATACCAGCCATCACCCGGGTCACTCGACTCGCTCGTCTACCCCTTAAGTTCCCAGAACTGGTATGAACAGCAACGATAGCGAACAATGATTTTGGCTGGGGTAAAGCATCAGTGCTTTTGTAGAAGGGGGACAGTGGAATGAAAGGAGAGGTGGAGAAAAGGAAGAGGAGGACAGAAACATGTGCATCCTGCATGCACCTCTGTGAATGTGAACGACACGGCTTGCGTTCGCGTGTAGCCTTAGCGCGCTGACAATCAATATAAAATACAGCCAACTGTTAAAAAAATACAGGCAATTAACTCTGCTTATTGGAACAGTGCCATTTTCCGAGTAGAATTTCAATGTTTCTCGGGTTTTTCCAATTTCTCTTAAGTATTCTTTTAAGGGTATTTCTTATTGTATAAATTAAGAACCACTACTTAATAAAATTCATGTTTTCAAAGTTGTCTATTGCAAGTAAGACATCTTTATATTGATGTTTGACTGTATTATAACTTTTATAAGGCTACATTTGACATATATTGTAGGCAACACTGCATCGCTCCTTCTTTTTGCACTGTGAATGAAGTAATATATGAATGCTTTTTTGTTTCAACCTTTTACAGCGTTTCTGCCAGTTGAAAAAGGATTATGCAGAGCCTTTTGAACAGATTTTCTTGAGTTCATACGACACCATTCACCGTTTTGAGACAAACAAGCTGCGCAATGTTGCCAAGTTCTTTTCTCACCTTCTCTTCACAGATGCCATTCCATGGAACGTAAGTGCCTCATGTTTAGTTTTTTAGTCCATCTATTCGGCAAGTACAACCGACAGTGCAGTTCAGTTACTATTTTTGTGCTTATGGATATGTTTCTCAAGTTTAAGCTTCATTTGTTGCTGTTGTGAACAATAATTACATGTCACTTTGTTGGACCACATTTTGCTAATTTTTTTATTTTTCTTTGTTTAGAAGTGCAAATTAGGGTTCAAGTGCTACTTACCATGGTCTTATGACTGCAGTATTCAAGAGGTTGCTGGCTTCTTGTATCATGATCGAATTTTCATATTGTGGCCCCGCCACGGTGGTCTAGTGGCTAAGGTACTTGGCTGCTGACCCGCAGGTCGCGGGATCAAATCCCGGCTGTGGCGGCTGCATTTCCGATGGAGGCGGAAATGTTGTAGGCCCGTGTGCTCAGATTTGGGTGCACGTTAAAGAACCCCAGGTGGTCGAAATTTCCGGAGCCCTCCACTACGGCGTCTCTTATAATCATATGGTGGTTTTGGGACGTTAAACCCCACATATCAATCAATGAATCGAATTTTCATATTGTTATAAACGGTGCATTCACGATACAGGACAGCCTGTTAATGTTTGATTCAACAGTCATTATGCGGACAACGCAACGAAATTATAAGTGGCACAGAATTTTATTCTAATTCTTATTCTAATGTTTTTAATTGGTTCTGTCAATTGAAAAAAAAGGGAGGGGGGATACGCAGAGCATTTTGAACTGGTGTTTTTGAGTTCATACAGCATCACTGACTGTTTTGAGACATGCAAGCTGCACAATATTGTCAAGTGCTTTGACAACCCATGTGACACAAATAACAAACAATCATTGCATGCTTATGTCATGTATAAGAGGCTTGGTTTCAGTCTGAATGTGGTTAGTTGGGAACATTGAGAGAAGCAGCTGCAGAGGTGTTGGTTGATTTCAGTGCAAATTAGCATAGTTGTGTTTTTATCCTTAAAATATGTATTTAAAGAATTCCATTACAGTAAAATTTAATATTTCTAACTTAAAAGTAAACAGGAACATTTTGACATGTGGTTGTGGCAGAATGTTTGGGCGTAATTTTGAAAGGAGTACGAACATGAAAATTTTATATTTTGTGTTATTTGTATCTTCCTTTAGTATTTAGCTAGTGACCTGCTTATCATGGCTGGAAATCTTGTTTGCTAGAGAGTGAGGTGGTTAATGATCTGGAATTGTTTTTATGACACCTAGCCACTGTTTTGTGAACACACCTTACCACGTGAGCGTGTAAAACAGTTACATATGGGCAGTGCTGCCAGATGGCCTGAAGACAATATCAGTAGCTGGACCAGCTACTGATACTGGACTTTTCGAAAAGTTAGTATATTCATAAAAAGCACTTCATGACATAAAAAAATAAATAATTTACGGAAGTAATTTGTTTCATATATATATATAGTTTGTAAGCATTTATAACAGCATGTATAATAAATGTAATTAGCAAAACATGGCTGGAAGGGGAAAATGGAAGCTTGTGGTGAAAACATTCGTAAACAGGGGTTGTATTGAGCAGACGTTTCCACAAGCGAATTGTCTTCCTCAAGGCTAGAAGAGCTGCTCTTGCTGCCGTTGCCAGCACCGTGAGTGACTTCCTCCATCATATAAAATGTGGTTTTACCTGCACTAGTGCAAATATTAACTATATGACCTAATGTTCATATTGTCATAATTGGTGCATTCGCAAAACAGGACAGCCTGTTAATGTTTGATTCGACAGTCATCATGCGGACACGGCAACGAAATTACCAAAATCAGTGGCACAGAATTTCAATGCAGCAGGGCACAACTTCGACGATCTCAAATTCTACATACTTCAGTCAAACTTCCAGTCCTCAAGAGACAGAAAATATAGAGTGATACCTCATTCACTCATTCAATACACTCCTGCTAGCAGGTATAAATGTTTCTAAAGGGGATTTCAGATCCTCTCGGTATGGTGTATATAAAAAAAAACAGTGCAAGTTAAGCCCTTCGTTTTGTAATTTCAGACCTACAATTGTTAACTTCTGTCAGCTGTGATTAAGCGAAACGTGCACATCCTCACTTTCCCACCACTTCCTTCTTTTCGTTTTATTCACGGAACGCCTGTTCCCTCTTTGTCACAGTGCCGCCTTCCCTCGCTCTCCCACCCCCACGTATCCAATCTTGCCCTCTCCTGCTCCTTTGTTAGGAAGGAAAGGGCACGAAGCATAGAGATGGTAGCGCTAAAGAAATCGGTTCACCTTTTCGCTTTCAGGAAGGCAAGTCTGTTTGTTGAAATGTCGGCTTGACATAACCCCTGTTTACGGTTCTTTTCATAGCAAAACATGTTGATACCCTAAGGCAGAGAGAGCAGTTTGGTTTTCTGGGCCAGTTGGTACATGATGTGAAAGTGAAAAAGTGAAAGTGATGTGAAAGTTCAAGACTGGAGCACAAGAGAGAGACGCACAGGAGAAGGATGAACTTACCACGTTGAGGCAGAGAGGGCGCATTGGTGGAGACCGAGTATGCACACCCCCGAGTTATGCTAAAGCTCCATCTTCGTGTGGATCACTTTGTGTGTCGCAGAGTAGCAGACATGCCTTGACATTGAGGGATGGAACCCTCATTCTCTAATGACGTGAAGATCACTGGTAAAAGGCACAGTGGGAGGGGGGGGGGGGGGGGCAGAGGTTGAAGAAGATGTAAAGGGGATTGCAAGGGAGACATGCATGTCGTTTTCGCTCCTTGTGTACTGAAGTGCATGGCTAACGCACTTAAACCTGTTAGAACATGCATCAGTCTTCTAAGTTGGAAAGGACATTTCAGCAGACGCTAGCATCGTGTAAGAAGGGGTTGGGAGAGGATGTAAATGCCACTACTGAAACAACAAATGAAACATATAGAGTAGCAGTTTAGTTTCCTAGGCCAGTTGGTACTTGATGTAAAAGTGAAGGGTTCCAGAAAGTTCAGGACTGGAGCACAAAAGAGGGACGCACAGGAGGATGGACTTACTACTGAAGTTTATTTTTTTTTTATTTAGGAAATGTTAAAATTAAAGAAATCTATTAACTGTGCCAAAATCAGTAGATTTTTTTTTAAATCTGGGAATCGGTTGGTAGCCAAGAAAAATTAGTAGGTATGACACCACTATGTCGACAGCTGCACTGTGTCGACAACTGCGAGAAAAAACATATATGAGGTACATAGCAACCAGCACGAATCCATGATATGGTGGTTGGTTATTTGCATAAAAACCAAGCTGATATTGATTATGTGAGGTGCTCTATGTTGTTCTCAGTTGAGCAGCATACATAGTAAAGTTTATTTTTAAATATGTCTTATTGAATTTACTTGAATAAAAAATTGATCTACCTTTGAAGAATTTGCGGAGGAGTGAACTTTGATAGGCTTTCTGGTAACATGCAAGTTTGTATCCCAACAACCGCCTTTTAATAGTGTATTATGAATGGAAATGGCAAGGCAGTGGGTTTGGAGAAAAAGAAAATACAGTCTAACTACTGATGAATCCTGTAGCACCAACTGACAGGAGATATAGAGACAAACAAGGACGAGCACTATGTCTCTGTGTCCTTGTTTTCAGTTTGCGCTATAATATCGCCATGACATACCAACTAGCCTAAGCTGCTACCCTTCTAAGTACTTCTTTTTTAATGATATTGAAGGAAAATCTCGGAACTATAATTCAGGGACGTCAAATAGGTTCGTCTGGAAAAATTAAAAGGTTATAGTATTATTGACCAATAACAAATATGGTTGGTATGTGGGAGGCGAGGAGGCAACTTCTGGGATTACTGCACGTATCAGCTTGGAGAAAGGATGGGGCTGAGCCCCTTCTGCTCCTTGCTTCTGAAGTCCATGAGAGGGCTAGACAATATTCAAAGTATGTTAGCCCACACCAAAGATATGCATTTTTATAAATGGGTGCATGTTTGTGTGTGTACATGTATGTGCATTGCATGCATATTTTTAAAATTATGTCTCATACACTAAAACATTTTTATAAATAAGGTGGCCAGGCAAACAATGAAGACAGTGTTTAAAAAAGCATTTTATTTCATATTATATACAGAAGTAACGAACACTTGTCGGACCTCTAGTCTTGTTGTATGTCTGATAATTAAGGAAGTTTGATAAAAGTGAGGTGAAAGGCAAGCTGCAACAAAATTTTTATTCAACTAAATAAGTTATAATAAGTGATAGTAAGGCGCAATATAGGAAAAGCCACCGAGCTGGTAATTTAATTGTGTTATTAGCAATCTCTAAACAGCATCTGAGCCGACCATGTAGTGACCTGGTAGCTACATTGTCACCTCGAGATTTTTCTGTTTCTATTTTTTTCTTCTTCCTTCCTTAAAGGGCCAGTAAACAACCTCGAAGTTGAAAATTTCCAATGTTGAAATAACTGCGCACTTGTACCTCCAATGTTCAAATAACTGCACAAGAACTTTGTGAATAAGAGCTGTAATAAGGAAGTTGCCGTGTTTTGAACGACCCACTTTTGCTAGTTCCGGTTTCTCACTCGTCCTTCCCACACTTTTCTTGCTGAGGGGAGGGGCAGGCGCAGCCCTTTGTTTCAACTACGCCTACTTCGTCAGTGTAACACGACGTCAACAATACATCATTGATGCACGGCTAACGACCGAGCAAGGCTTTTCCCACCCCAACGTGTACATGTATCATAGGAGCGAGGTGCAAATACAAGGCATTGGTGAAGTATTCACTCTTTCCCTAGCGATAAGGTAGCTAGATGCCACTCTATTTTGGAAGCTTTCATTCTGGCAATACAGCTTGTTGTAGTAGTCTTTGGCGCTACAAAATGGCAGATTGCAGCGCGAAAAAAGGAAAATGTTGACTGCGCATCCAGAACTGCGTCACTGCAGGGTCAAGGCATCATTTCGTAGGAATTGTTTTTTGAAATGGATGGTCTGCACGGTTTGTAACACTGTAATATTTGCAACATGCGATTGCCACAGTACACTGTATGAATCAGCGAGATTATTTGGGGGGCGTTTGTATAATAAAAAGATACTGTGTGTTTGTGTGCATGCATGTGTGAGAAAAAGAGAGAGACAGCACAAAAGCATTTGCTTCCTTCTGCCTGTGCTGTTCAAGATTTCAGTGTCAAGTGAACCTTCATTCATATAGTTTTCCAGCACTTTCTTTCATAATAGATTCCTTTTTGGCAAAACTGAGTTTGTTACTTTTTATGTACAGTTGAACTTTATCTTGTGCTGCATGCAATGAAATGGTTCAGGCATGCAGTGAAATGGTTGCATGCAGTTCTATGCCTAGATGCCTTTTTGTTTTGTATATTGTTATGCCACTGTGTTCCTGACTTAATTGGACATTGTACTGGGTAACTCTTAAGTGAAGTAAAGTAGTAGGTACTTGTCTTATGTGGAACTTCTTTTAAATAATGTAATTGTCATTTTATGTGATAGATGGTTGCTTTCAAGAAATGTTTCCTTTCGTGTAGGTTCTTTCTCACATCAAGCTTACCGAAGATGACACTACATCATCCAGCCGTATTTTTATCAAGATATTGTTTCAAGAATTATGCGAATACATGGGTCTACCAAAACTGAACGAAAGAATAAAAGATCCGTAAGTCTGTCCTCAGTGGGCAATAATGAAAGGTTTTATTTATATGTGCATTGTATGCCTAGCTTGTATGACACATATAGGATTTTCTTTATCAGCAAGCCACTGCTGTTCAGTGCAGTGAATTTCTAATAATCCATAATTTTATTACCATATTAACTCGCATACTAGGCGTATTTTTTTTTTTCCTCAGAAAATCTGGCTCCAGGTTCAGGGTTTGCTCGGGGTAAAATTTCTGAAAATTTTATATCTGACTACAGCATAGACCGCTGATAACGCGATTCGCCTAAGTCGCGAATATCCGCATTACATTCGAAACAACTTTCTTCATAGGCTGCTAAAGCACTAAACATGTTCATCATGCAGGTTTGCTTGCCTAAGAATTGAGGCACGCGATGCGTTGTGCTTACAAGCATTAAAATTTTTAAATATTAACATCAAAGGACTTGCGTTGCCAACGAAATGAATGTGGGAAGAAAAAAAAGATGCGAAGAGAAAGCTGTTGTTGACATTTGTTGGTTCCCTATATCCAAGACATTGCAATCAAATTGTGAACCCCCATTCGACTCTTAAAAACATCACCCATACCCCCCCCCCCCCCCCCCATTCATCAAGTAGAGCCACCGCAAATAGTCACGTTGAATCCATGCAAAACCGCAACTTAGATCGCCTGCGACTGCCACCAAAAAGCAACCAACGCTGATTAGGCCTAGCGTACAGTTTGGCATGTTGTCGTGGGAAGTTTGTACAAGACAAGATCAAGATTGGGCTTCGAAAATATCGCACTCAAGCACTCATCCAAGAGCAGCGGGCATGATACAATGCTTAAGTTTGCGGCCAGGACACCATCGGCGACTAAAATCCACCAAGCTTGTGCAAGCGCGCATTGTGGCAGCAAAGGTGAAAGCTTGCATCGGAAAGCTTTTAAAATTTGTGGATGGGGTAGCAAATGCGAAAACGGCGACACTTTTTCCCAACAAGAAACTCAAAGCGCTCTTGATAAGGACGCAATCATACGTTCCATGCGGAGTGCGTGCGGCCGGCAAGCACCCGGAGCCACAGGTGCAAAAGTTACTCCAACAACCACCCTTCTTCCCCCGTGCAGCGCTGCTGCTGCTTTTTTTAAATTTTTTTTTTCTCACTCCAGTAAAGTGCTAGGGCATCTAATTGCAACCGTGGGAATACAGTACAGGCTTACTAAACGCTGCCAAGTTCGGGGTGCGCCTATTATGCGAGTAAATACGGTACTTTACTTGAATTTAAGGATAGTTCCAATCGATTGTTGTTTCCTATCCACACCACATTCATTTATTGAAGAAAAACGGCTAGTAACTGCAGAGCGTATCATCTATGAAGACATGGTGGATTCAAACAAGTGTGTTCTAATTCTAGTATAAATTTGATTGATAGGCAGTAGCTGCTTTGAAGTACTGGATCACAGTATTAGGGCATATATCGCCACTCTTTCGCTTTAGATGTTTTAGCAGTGTATGAAACTGGTCCAGCTGGCACTGGAATAGACCAGCACATTCGTTCACAGTTCGAGAAGTTCCTTCACATTCTGCTGCCATCTAATCGTTATTAATGCCACACCATGAGCTATAGGAGGATGAGAGAAAATCAGCTGTTAATTTTTTATGTGTCTGTGAAAAGTGATTGCTAGCATTGAAAACACTGTTCTCGAATTGCCCAGATAAAAATGTGCTGCCATGGAAGTTAGCTTTTGAAGACACTATCACAACATTGTTCAGTGCTGGAGTGTAATGACGAAAGTCTCTGCTACAAAAGTTTTTCAATAAAAACACAAGCATTTGTAGGTATAAGCAGCCAATTATACCAAGTGCCTCAAGCCATTGTTGGTGACATTAGCAATGCATTATGCAAGCAGTGCGCAAGCAGTCCTGGGGAATTGTAATAAAAAAGCAGCAGGTTTTCAATTTCATCTGGGAAGCTTCACTTCTGCTTACCTCAGCTCTTTTTTGTCTGTTTAGTCTTATGTTTGGAAGGTGATGTGGTGCTGCTTTAATTTCTTTGGTAATGGTCCCACTGACAAAATAAAAAGCAAGATGAATAGAAGCTATGTCTGTCTTTCCTCCTCATGTTCTTTTTATGTGGCACCGTTAGCCAAGTAATGTATTTGCATATCTCTGAACTCACTCAGCTTTCAGTAATTGTGCTGCTTGCTGTCATGCCAGGATTCTGCAAGGATACTTTGAAATTGTATTACGATGCGATACAAGATACTCAGACAAGATACCGGTACAAGATACTACCACAAAAATTGTATCTGATATAATATTTGCCCATTTTATTTCGATACATTTGTAAGTTTGTAATTTGAACCCGCCCCCCCCCCCCCCCCCCGCCCCCTAATCTAGTAGTGAACGCCTATGCACAAAAAGGTGTACTGAAAAATTTCTGAAATGTGGCTGATTGCAATTATTCGAAATGCATGTTTGTATGTCAAAAGTATTTTTCTTCTCAATTGAAGTAAATTAGTTAACCACCAAGGAGCTCATTAAGGTTTGTTTTAGCTTGGTAAGAGGACAGCTGTGTAGACACTTCACTTACAGTAGTTCTTGCTCGTCATTTCTGTAATTGATGGGAGTCGCTGCTGAGCTTGTCGACCAGCTAGCAGGTTGCCGACTAACTAACTACACTAGGTTCAATGAGAAGCCTAAGCACGATGGGCGAATGCCAGTGGACAGTTTTACGTTGTTCATAAAACACCGTATTCATAAACACCGTTGTTCATAAAACATCATGAAACACCGTGTACAGCCGCAACAACGCTGGTAGTAACAATTTTTGTGGCGCATTGTGTGTACATAGGCCCCGTGTACAGTAGCGTGTAACCGGCATCATGTGTACGTGATGCAGGTTCATTGAACTTCTAGCTTCCCTGCATGGGTAGTGGCAAATGTAGTTGTGCGAAGGTTTGCGATCTCTACTGTATAGTATCTTCATGTAGCATTACGATTCCTTTTTCTAGGACACTTCAAGATGCTTTTGAAGGTCTGTTTCCGAGAGACTTGCCCAAGAACACTCGGTTTGCCATTAATTTCTTCACCTCTATTGGCCTTGGAGGACTGACGTGAGTAGCAGTTACTTTCTCTGTCATCTGAAATTGCCTTTCAGCATTTCGTATTACAGAAATGATGCCTTCAGAACTCACATATGGCACTCGTCCTTCTGCATTGGGTTAAGATTCAGGGCACTGATCTGTGCAGATGTGAAAGTTTGTGGTACTTTGACGCATTTTTTGGGGGGACCCTTGTGGTGGTCTTTTGCCCCCTATCTACTACATGCCAGCTTATTGGCACGTGACGGCACTGCTTTCTACTTCAAAAATAAAGGACACTTAAGTTTAGCACTTTGTTTCGGACCCTCCTTCGCATTGTTTTCTCAGTCACTTGCCATGCTTGTCTTCTGGATAAACACCTCAGCCGTGCCATGAGAAAAGGAATGTCTTTGCACGTGACATTGATGTTGTAAACTTTCCTGGAACATGTGAAATTGGGCTTGTTGGCGATGCATTACTGTTTGTATAGCATGAAAATTCTCACAGGACAAGAGAAGGGACAAAAACAAGTGCTCATGCTCTTCCCTTCTCTTGTGCTTTTTCAAATTAGTGCACTATGCAAACAGTTTTATTTGAATGCCCACTGCAAGTACATGTGTGAGGTAGTCAAGCATGCACATGTCTGTAAAGAAACTGCACACTTTGTTGGTGTTGCTGCAGTGATTCCACTCTGGCGCCAACTGCGCCAAAGTGTGCCGAATTGAATTTACTGTGCCATCCTGATAAAATTAAGTAAGTTGCGCCAAACTTTACCAGAGTCTCGGTTTTCAGGGTGCCTATGACTGGCAATCGTGCCACTGGCACATCAAAACTTCATGCAGCGTGATCTTTGGGCCACCAAAGTCACAACCAGAAGCCAATAAATATTCCATTGAATAAACATGTGCTAGCGTGAGCATCCTGAGTAAAACCATGGCGCCATGCTCTAAACCGATGCAGCTTCCATTGTGGAAGTCCGCTCAACGGCGAAGCGCATCCTTCGCAGAGGCTCATGACACGTAAGCCGTTCAGTAGCTAGAAAGTGTTTCGGCAACTAATCGGCGACTGCCGTCAGTTCCAGAAATGCTGCTGATTGCTAGTTTCAGGCGTTTCACGACATGTAATTGCAGCAATGTTCTGGTGTTCTGCAAAAATGTCTGTCACTTCTGTTTCTAGACATCACGGAATCAAATCTGCGAAAACTAAAATAGCTGTGTGGAGTTCACTAAAGTTGGGTGTTGGGCCAGTGCCTTCTCTATTTTTTCAGTGCCTGGGCGAAGGAGCGGATTTCAATGGAAAGCGGTTGTCAGTGTTAGTGCGGCGTTTTGCCGCCAAGCACCGCCACCACAGTAGACATGCCACCTTGTCATCTCTCGCACAAACGAATGCAGCGGCTGCATTTGAAGCTGCTATACGGCTCGGTTTTCGGCTGTGTTCGCATTGTTTCAGGTATAATGGAAACGAGAATCGAAAATCACTTGTTAGGCATGTGTAGCTCGCGACTACTTGATCGAGGCGCTATCACATCATCTGCTATGCCGATACCAGATAGCTCATGCCAGTAATTCATGGAAGATCATTTTGTCATTGTGACGTTCGCTTGACTGAGAGTTGCTTTTTTGACTCGCTGAAAGTCGATTTTTGAATGAAGCCTTTGCCAGGAGCTAATACTAAAAGCTTGGGTGCCTAATATTCCTTGTGCTTGCTACTGTCTAGTGGCATAGCACATTATACGTTCTTTTCACAATGCTTTTGAGCATTACATGTGTTGCCACCGAGAGAAAGCAAGTGCCAGAAAATTAGGAACTATGCCAGGTGATTTCAATCACCTGCCATAGTTCACAAAGCTTTTAAGCATTACATGTTGCCACTGAGACAAAGCAAGTGCCGGAAAACTAGGAACTATGCCAGGTGATTTCACTGTTTGAGAGTTTAAACAATGAAATTGTCGTGAGACAAACAAAAACAGCTCCATATACGGCCCGATTCTTGCAATCGTGGCCTATGTCTTGAACAGGCGCTTTTAAAGTCTGAAGTCTAATGCCGACTCTCAACTTGAGCCCAGGTGACATGCATGAAAAATGAGGCCTGTTGTCAGTTGCTTGAGCTCGTCTGTGTATTCGTGGACGGATTGTTGTAGTGTCAATGTCCGACTGCTCAGCTCTGTTTCATTCTTCTTCCCTCTGGCCTCTTCGGTAGTGAGCAAAGTAGAGGCCGAATGGCTGTCGACCCGGACACTTTTGTCGCATGGGGCACCCTGTTCAGCTTTAAAAGTATGAATTCATTACGACACTGTACATGATAACTGTCGCTTGTTTCACCGACAACTCATGTGGTGCCCATGGGCTCCCATTAAACTTCGAGGCGTAATGTTATCGTTGCACGTGGCAGTTATCGCAAGGCATTAATGCTATTGATAGACTAATTTGTTGACTGTTTCGGATACAGCGCAGTTCCGTTTTGTGATACTGATTGCCATGCTTCCAAACGGGAAAGGTAGTCTGAAGCCACCACTTCGTATAATCTCTTAAAATATTTGGGTTGTAACTGACGGCTACATATTCAAGTGTTGTACGAAGATTTATTTGGAGACTAATTATTTTGCTTGATTACTGCAAGCACCCTCCCCTGAACACCAGCGGCAGCTGCAATTTTATGGAACTAAAGCCGTACAATGTATTAAGGTGATGAAAAGACAGAGTTATACATGTGACGAAGACCATATAGCATCTTTTTGTTGCCACCACGGTGAGAAGCATTGAAAACAGCGCGCTGCTATGTTCTCGTTACTTTTCATCCTCCGTGTACCCGTGAAACCGGCGAAAAGCATGAATGCAAATTAACTCTCATGAAAACAGGAATCCACTAGCTTCCAAATACGTGCGGCGTTCAGCGCCAGCTTCGCATAGTCTACTTGCGCAGCGCCGCCATGCAGCAGCGGTGAGCGGAGGCTCAGCGTGCGCTCGATGGCCTTGAGAAAGCGTCGCCGAGGCACTGGAAAAAAAAAATATAGGAGGTGCTGGCTAGGCTAATTGGTGCAGCGTGATGCAATGTTTCAGAGCACATGAAACAAGAATGGACAGAGAATAGATATATGGAACAACATCAAATTTTCCGTGCTTCACCTCAATTCATGTAAGAGTATGTGAACAATAGGAATGTGTTTTATTGAATATACTTCATCCATGGTTCTTCAGCCACAAGTGACTCTTGTAATGTTCTTCGACCAGTACATCTAGGTTTGTCATCACTTTTGTTGTAAATACCCTCTAAAGGATCCTGTCTTTTAGAGGTCGTAATGGTTAGGGTCCCGATTCGAATGTCTTGCTCTTCTTTTTCCTCTTTTTTTGATCTCAATAAAAGTATGTACAGCTTCATTAGCAGGCCCGTCACTGACAGCCTGGCCTGGTGCCGGAAGACTCACTGTGCAGCAGCTACGCTATGTTACACATCCGCCTCTCGCCACTTTCCAGGGTGAATAACCAACGGTTAAAAATTATGTGTCGCTTAAAGGTAAAACAGTGAATGCTATAACAATAAATTGTACCAACAAAACTCAACAAAAATGCAGGTTTAAGGGAAATACAGCCGCTTTTTCGCGATTTTTCGGTTTTCAAGGGCCGCGTCCCCCCTTAAGTACAAAGTAAGCATTGAGAGTGCAGCAATCCAGTTGTTAGCCAGCTTTGTGTTTCTATCCTTTTGTCTTTCTTCTGTTCTAGTGCTGTTTCTTCATTCAAAATCAGCACAGCAAGTTCACGACCAGTCTGCTGATGCCTGTGAGATAGTGCAGGTGCCAGCCACTGTGCCCTTTGAGCGAAGGAACTCTCGTCTCTTCTCCTCATGCTCCTTACGAAAAACTGGCGGGGCGTTTTCTTTCTGCTTCATCAAGGATCGATGGCAGGATTCGTGCACGGGGTAATTTTACAGGGTGTCTACCAACCTGGAAAACATGGAAAAGTCGGGGAATTCAGACCCTTCTGGAAAAGTCTGGGAATTTCTGAAAAATTTGGCTTGGTCATGGAAACTCATGGCAGTCTGTGTGACCGTCACAAAAATAAATATTCCCATTGATCAAAGCTTAAAATATTGCTTCTTCGGCTGCAACTACAATGAACAGCTAGAAGAGGCATGAAAAAAAAACAAAGGCAATAACTGTTGCTTTTAACGTAAACACGAAATGATACACCGGCCAAAGGAGCACAAAGATTACTCACATTTCGGCACCCACTACGGGAGCCTTGTTCACAATAAAAGCCATAAGAAAGGTACAGCATATTTAGGTACGTTAACTACGCGATGTAGCACCAAAAGTGCATCGTCGGAAGCGTCCCATCACTCATGTTCATCATATATGCAGTTGTCTGTATGTGCAGGGATTCTAGATGCAGGCATGATGCAAGCTACTTTTCTTTGGACCAGTGAATTTGGTGGTCTGTAGATTACACATGTTCAGCAAGGACGTTCGAGGTCATGCGCCATTTTGTGACAATGTATTCGTGTTGTTTAACTCTTTTTTTTCTTGAAATCACCTGTCTCACCAATGTACCAGTTGTCACAATCGTGTCAGCCTATGGCGTAAACAAGACCAGGAAAATTTCCTCTCGGCAACTTGTTCTTCACGTTGACTAAAGCATTCCAACATACAGAATAGTGCATGTTGACATGCACTACAGTAAAAGGTTGTTAATTTGAACCGCAAGGGGAAGCCATCTCAGTTCGAATTAACAAAAGTGAAGAACAACAGCTCACTGCGACAAAGTAGCGCATAGCAATTTATTTATTTTTTAATCTGTGATCGCGGCCTGCCTTCTTTTCTTGAAGGTAACAGCCAGTACTTTTTGCTCTAATGAGCGAATTAGTGGAAGGCCTCTTCTCCATCTTCTTCAAAGCTTAAGAAGAGATGGGCGGCATTCAATCCGGCCATGGCTTCCGCAGCAAAGGGCTGCACTGGTGGTTCGTCCTTTTCCTCATCATTGTCACTGGCAGCGACGTGTTCTGCACTTCTCACCTGACATATTATGTCATCATCTGTG